TGGTCCAACAGAAATAAAACCAATTGTGATGATATGATAAGTTCAACCGCATCAGTAAATAAAAATATTTGTAAGACATTACTTTATATGTACCGTTTTGGATGGATCCCTGTATATCATTGATTATTTATCACTTTTTTGTATCACTTTCTATATGGATATTTATGATTGTCTTCCTTATTTGAAGATAATTATTAAATAATTAATACAAACAAATGATTTTTTACCATGCAGGACAGTGATATAAAAAGTGAAATAAATGGTGATATATAACAGTTCTCAATAAAATAATGTATAATAAGGCTAGTCAATTAATTTGTGTAAAATGAAGGTCCCATATTTTGTAACTTCGTGAGTCCTATATATGGATGGTGTGTGTGATCATATATTCCCCTTTTCTTTTTACTACAAAACTAATATTATCATTAATATAGAAGATATGTATCTGGTCTTTTTTTTTTTTTGGATCAGTATAGAAGATATTTATTTGATCTTATTACTCAAAGCAACAATGAGATTTTCACAATATTGCTGACATATTTAATATGGGTTTTTTTTTATTGATAATCTATTTAGAGGTGTTTTATCCCAAGAAGTCCACAAAGGAAAGTTATAACCTAGTTAGTCCATGTGTTTATACTTTTGTTCCATAAGGTCCTTTTTTCCGATTTATATTTTGTGTTAGACTATTATACCCTTATATCTATTATTGATATATATTAAATACAAGAATGATATAAATATTTCCCTTTGTTTTTGTTGTGGTAGGGCTTCGTTCCTATAGAAGAGAAGACGACAACACAGAGTTTGTGGTGGTGTTTTCGTTGTGGTAGAGTTTAATTCCTGTAGGAAAGAAGATGACGACTCAGAGTTTAGCTCTATTTTTTTTTCTGTCATAGTTACTATTTTAGCCGAAAATCAAAGGAAAGAGGAGGATTTGAATCGAAGGAACAAATGAGATGGCTAACAAACTTGTTCAGTCGATTGATTGAAATCCACATTCGACTGGATTGAATCAAAGGGAAATAGGAGATAGAGGAGTTTGTGCTCTGTTTCTAGTTTTTCTGTCAATTAGTGTGAATGTTCACATTTCATATTGTTCTTCTTTCGATGATGTTCTTCTTTTTCAAAAATTGTTAAAATTATCGCCCACCAATGTTTGATTATTTGTTCAAATGAAAAATTCAACAGAAAAAGTTGTTCCCATTGGAAACAACATCTCTAGTGATATTTGCTTAGGTTAGTGAATATGATTCTATTAGTCATTAATTTTGATGTTTTGTTATTGATTTCAATGTAACAATGATTTTTTGAGATTGGAAATGTGTCTGATATAAAAATGATGTAATGTTTATATTATTAATTAGTGTTAATATTTACATTAATTTGAATTGAATATATCATGTGAATATTAAACACATTCATGTGAATATTTAAATTACTTTTGTTCATATTACTTTTGTTTTCATATCTACATTCATTTGAATATTCACATCTCCAGTGATATTTGCTTGGGTTAGTGAACATGATTCTGTTATTGTCATTGGTTTTGATTTTTTGTTATTGGATTTCAATGTAGCAATGATTTTTTGAGATTGGTAATGTGTTTGATATAAAAATGATATAAATGTTGATATTATTAATCAGTGTTAATATTCACATTAATTTGAATTAAAAATTTGTCATTGTGTTGTCAATTGATGTTAATATTAGTCACACACCCATATAATATTGAATGATGAATATGTTTTTCGTTGTGTTCATTAACGTGACAAGGTGATTTTAAGGTTCACATCAGTATTACATCAAATTACACAACCACAAGCCTCAACTTTCATTTTGAGTGCAAACATGATGTGAATATTCAAACTAAAATATACGAATATGAAGATTCACATGAATTCTGAAATATAGATAATTGCACTATGGCTTCAAAGTATTAATTACTAACATGGAATGATGATATTAAAGTTCACATCAAAATTGCATTGTCCACATATCACTTTAAGCCGAGATTTGTGTACACAATTGTAAAGTAGCTGACAACAATGTAAAGGTTCACATCAATTTTTTAATCTCTAAAAATATGACTACATCAGTATTGCATTAACCACAAACCATCATTTTTGTGTGTATACAAACATGAAGTGTACATTTATGTATAATTAGATTATTGATGTTGTGTGGGTGAAAATCTGACCACACTGCTGCTTAGTAACCAACTGGAGAGCACAGCAGAATAGATGGCTTCAGTAACCTGTAACAGAAAGAAAAGGATCCGGCGGTGGTTCTTCCACCCGGGGGCACTCCGACGATCAATCAGTATATCTCTCTAAGATAATCAAGTGCAAAACTTAATACTCAAAACATAATTCGCATACCTTAGACCCACAGGGGTGCCTCTCTTTTATAATATACTCAATCCAAGTCCTACTAGAAGTATGACTTCTATGAACTCCAATTTAGTGCTTACTTTTGGACTCTTTAAGAGATAAAGTAAACTCCTAAATCCCTAAAAGCTTTATCCTTATCTTGGTTAAGTCCCCTCTTCGTCTTAGGACTCTTGTCCATTATTCGTTTATCTCGGATTCCGAAATCTTCGGAGTTAACCTCGGCCTCGCCGAGATCATCTCGGCGTCATGACCAAGACACGTGGCACCTCGGCTGACACGTCGGCGTCACCATGCCACGTGTTGGTATTCAGAAAATATATCCCCACAACTGCCCCCTAGGTTTATTACCTCGGCATTCTGAGGTGATGGAACACTATACCAATATTTCGATATTCCTTTTCTTGAGTAATGGCTAAAAAAAAAAACCCGTTTAGCCGAGCTAATCTACTTTGAGCCGATGTATTCTTCGGAGAACAAGGTTTCGAACGTACTCTCCCACGTGCATGAGCTGTCATGCATATCTATCCGTTCTTTTCATGTGTAGTTTCTTCATTGGGGCGTGTCTGTGACGCGCCTGAAAGCTGTCTGTCATTCGTCTGCGCCGTCTGACGCGTGCGTTGCTCTAGGCGTAATAAATGCCCTGTTTTTGCCGCCGTTTCACGTTTTTGACAAAACTTTTCCTTGCCTCTTTCTTTCTTCACTTTCTTCATTCTGATTTCTTGCTCTCTCTCTCTTCGAAAGCTCTTTTTTTCTTTGAATCTGCCATTGCTTTAATCTTCTGAAACTGTCTTTAATCTTCCATTCTTGCGAAGCTTTCTTTGCTGTCACAACCGATTTCTGATCTCGGCGAATTTGCCCCGGCATCATTTGTTCTGGTAAGATTCTGCTCCTTTCACTCTTAGCTCTCTTTATGTGCTTTCGTTTGCCTATTGCTATTATCGCTTTTGTCCAAAGCCTTGGATTTATTTGTATCTTGAATCATGGCTACGTCTTGAACACTTGCACTATTTCACCACTTTTCTTGCCACTGTTCTTGATTTTTTTTTTCTGTACTTCTTTTGTTTCTGAGAACTATACCTTTGTTCTTGAATCTGAAACTAGTCTCTGTTTTCTGTTTTTCGTATCTGTCCCAGATCTGTGCCTTCGATCTTGATCTTTATAGTTCTTAGGCTTGGGATTTGTGTGTAGAACCTTTAGGTTTTAAGGAAAACTGAAACAAACCTTATCAGTCCTTTCCTAGGCCTTTGGTCGAGGTTTTTGCAATCCTTCTAAAACGTCCATCTTCTGAACACAACTCCTTTTTGTTTAGGCCGTCGTAATGGGTATGTGGAGGCATAGGGTAAATACCCCAACAAAACTTGAATACTTTAGGCAGGAATTCTCTATCCCACCCGATGTTCATCTTAAGCTAGCTGGGGATAATGATACCATTATGCCCACAGACCATACGATGCCCTTTCCTATAGTAGCTTTCACCGAATGTGGACTTCGGCTTCCACTTGATCCCTTGTTTCGCGAAGTTCTTCATTTCTACAGGCTGAACCCATGCAACTTACTATCAACTCCTACAGGGTGATTAACGGTATTATAGCTTTAGCTAGGCAGGAGAATCTTAGGATCACCCTGGCGACCTTCAGTACTTTATACAATGTGCCCCCTTAACCTGAAAGATAAGGGCTTTGTTTATTACCTTAAGCCGAGGTCTACTGAGTTTAAAATTGTAGCCGACCTCCAAGACTCCAACAAGGGGGCTGGGGATGACTTTCTTATTGCTTCGGGAAATTGGAAATTTGGCCCAGATGAAAATGTCCACCTCTACCCTTCCCTCGAACAATTACAGAGGGAAGGGTAAGAGCCCAGTGCCAATGCTTAGTTGTTTTTTATTTAAGTCTTTAAAATTTGTCTGTTTCTAATGTCTGTTTGCTTGTCCTCAGATCTTCATCACCACCAAAGAACTTCCGTCAATCCTTCTTCCGGTCAAGATTTAAAGAAGCTTCTTGGTCTTCCAGTCCATAAGCGTAAGGCTCCCCTGTTGCTGAACTTTATTCCGACATATAAATCCACTTTACCCGATGTCCCGAAAAGGAAGAAAAAGAGTCTTTCCTCTCCTACTGCCACAACTGTAACTGCGTCTTCATCCCGAAGATCAAGGATCCACCTCTGACCCAGCCGATCTTCCATCCACTTCGGCCTACTTAATACCAATTCCAGAACGTAAACGTCGACGAAGACTTGTAAAGACTGCCGAGATGGTTCGTCCGCCTGTCATTCAAGATCTTCTTGCCGACCTTCCAACCGAGCTGATGCTGAACATCGCATGCGATGCCCCTACCAAAGCCAAAGAGAGTAAAAAAGGCTCAGCCCAAGCCCAAGGCTACTGACGCCGAGGTTGAGGATGCTTTGCTCATCTCCCAACTGGCAGAAAGCAAAAAATCAACCTCTGCTTCCACCAAGAGGTCTGCTGGAACCCAACCCTCGGGGTCCACACAATCAAAGAGGCCAAGGTCATCGTCTGCGACGACTCGGCGTCCAAGAAGCCCGACGTTCCATGGGCCCTGATAA